CGAGAAATATAGAAAAGTTTATTAAAATATTTATTAAAATTTATTAAAAGAATAGATCAATAGAGATATATTACTGCGTTGGCGTATCTTATCCCTATTGCTATTCCGATACACGAAATTATTTCCTACTATTAAAATTAAAACTATTACAAAAATTATTTATTATTATTAAAACTATTTGTATTTGTTATCACTAAAATTATTTGAGAAATTATTTATTATAAAACATAAGAAAAGTAATTATGAATTATTAGGATTATAACGAAATTATTTGTTATTAAAGTTATAAAAAAAGATTTGTTGTCAAGGTAAGTATTATATGAATTTTTAAAAGTTTCGCCAGAGGGGAATCTCTTTTTCTTTCTTTCCAGCCGCAGCTATTTTATAGTTTTTCTCTTTGTTTACCTTCATCCTCTGTCATCCAAAAAAAAAGTTTTCGTAGCAGGATGAATAAACAGTTACCCTGGATGATGGATGACACACAAGGATAATTTATCCAAATAGTGACACATATCATCCTCTATCATCCCCCGTGACTCCGGCTATTTTCGTGCCGCCTCAATACTTTTGCTAGAATTGTCATTTGAACAAGAACACAATAAAAGCGTTAGGAGGCTAAGCGGGGCGAGTTCGTCAACATCATAATCACATGTAGAAGCGTCTATGAATCCCTCACCAATCTCTAGATCTAAAGCTTCGGCAGGTGAAAAATCAACTTCTTCAAGAGACCTGAACGGCCTGAGAAACATCACCTGCAGTGACAATATCAGTATCACCATCTGTAGAAATGCCTATGAGTTCTAGGCCTGTTACTCCTGCACTTCCCTCTTTGTCACAAAATGTGAACGTAATTAATGTCACTATTAATTACAGTGGTGATTCCAAAGGAATCGGTTCAGACGAAAATTAAGCTGTTTTTTTTTTTATTAATGTGTTGGATTATATAAATAGCGCTATTTGCTAATGTAAACTTAGCTATTATTTTTCATAACTATAGTAGAATACAAGATCACTTGCAAAGACACACATACGTTTTAAAAATCAATAAAATTCTTTATTATATTTTTGTAAAGTAATACATGATAAAGGGCCGACCGGCTAAGTAAATATGAAAGGGTGTGTTTTCTTAAGAAACCCCCAAGTAATAATGATCTAATACAAAATAAACTATATGTAATACGAATGAACTATAAACTGTATGTGTGATCACATGAGATTTAGATCTTGAGACGTGTGGGTGAGGTTTAAGAGGGAGGAATAACGTGTGAAAAACTTTTGTCGGCCCCTAAGCCTTATGTAATGACCCCGTCCACTATTCATTATCATTATCACTATTGCAAATTATACTGCTACTGTTGCTACTGCTTTCTGCAAAACTAACTCTTCTTTTCACCTCCCTTTCAATCCATGGAATGATTTTATCCATCGTTGTAGTCCTTGGAGTCTTTGATGACAATAGAAACTGGTTAATGTGGCAGGACTAAGACCAATTTCTTGAGATAATAATTATACATCTGCGTAGGAGAGCGTTTCTCTTTTCTTCTCCTTTCATCAAATATGGCCGTGAACTCGACCCAGTACATTTATATTTCATCAGTATATAGTATATTCTGAAAACTAACTTACACGCCTTGTGGAAGAAAATCGGGTTGATCCGGATAGGAAGAATAAGATGTAGAGTGGGGACCGGTCTTGAGAAATTCAATCACATAGGGACTCGCCTTGTGAAACTGCATCATTCCTCTGAAGTTCGTTATTTAGCTCCAGGGTAGATCTTTCAAGATTTTTATTCTCCCGGATTGATTTTTACGAAAGTAGATGAATGCTCCTTCTAAAATTGTATATATGGTTAAATTTTCCGAAAAAATACTCTGGAGCATCTCTATTGTTAGGTTACTTCGGCTTAACATTTCATAAAATATAAATTGCGATGCCGAAGAGTGCAATTAAAACAATATCATCTTATTGAAAAGAATTAATGTTATTAGATTATTTTGAGTGGAATGAATTTTTGTCCAAAGGCGCTTAAAGCAAAAGGTTTTTTATTTGTTTACTAGAAACCGCCTAATTCATCCAGAGTTTTTTTATAATTAACTATGATCATCGCAAAACATAAGGTCCCTGGATCAACGCCGATCCAGATTTCCTAAATTGCCTCGAACAATGAAACATTAGTATGTACGATCTAAAAGATTGTTACGCTCACACGAGAAAAAAATATTTGACTACATTGCTCGGGTCACTTAGTATCCTAAACGTTTTTTATTTGCAATAAATTGAAATACAAAGGTTCAGGACGTGGCCCGTAAGTTACTATGTTGCTACATTTCTATCCCATTAGTCTATCTATTCCTCCGCAAGATTGCTCAATGACTTTACCCTTTTCATTCCTTGACTTATAGTCAAGAGCTGACACTTGCTTCTGCGTTTCCTCTAATAACCAAATAATATAGCCAAGGACCTTCTTCACCTTGTCTTTCATATCCTCGGTGAATTAAATATCCGGATATATCCGCGGATATCCGAAGATATCCGTACTTATCCGTATTTTTCCGTTATTATCCGTGGTTATTCGTATATATATCCGTGAATAAAATAAATATTTCGCGCGATATAATATTAATTTTTTTGTAACAAAATAAGAGTCGGAAATAATCATCGATGGTTGCTTAAAGATTAGAATATTTTACATATTATATTAAAAGAACAGACCTATTGTGGCGAAGCAAATTGGTAATCAGGTGAAATGTCACGGGGGATGATATTTTGTGACACTAGATGAACTTTCAGGTGATTGACATCTTTGTGTAGCCATCCATAATGTGCCGTACGAGGGAGTACAAAGATGAAGGATGAAGTGTAAACAAAAGAGAAAGTATAAATACGACTGTTGTTGGGAGTAAGTAAGTAAGTTAGCGAGAGTCAGTTAATAACAGTCACAAGTTAATCAGAAATCAATTAATAATTCGGGATAATTCGAAATACTTTAATAAATATTGAATAGAAAAGTAAACTTCCTTTGATACTTCACTTAAAAACTTTATATTTTATATTTTAATAAATTTATATTTTGTGTCAATACTATTAAATATTGTTTGATACTGCGTTACTACTTTTACTCCACCTTACTCACTGTGCCTTCATGATTAATTGATTATTATTTGATTATTATTATTATTTATT